CTTTTTAAACTTTGTGAACAATTTTTATAAATGAGAACATGTTTTGAATCTTCCGAACAAAATATGGAAACATGAATATTCTTTGAAATTAGTGAAGAAGTTTTGAAACGGAATTATTTATTGAAATCCCCAATTTTTCTGAAGATGTTGTGGAAATTTTGAACAAAAAGTTCAAGAAAAGAAACTAAACAAAAAAGAAACAGAAAAAAGAAAAAGGAGGAAAACACTACTAGTAAAGAAACATAAGAAAATCGGAAAAATAGTAAAAAAAACTATTCAGGAACATTCTAGAATCTTCACAAAACCTGAAAAACCAGGCTGAAACCTTCCAGAATGTTCCCAAAACCAGATGCCCGTACTCGTTAGCTTCTCAGATGGGTCGGCCCAGTTCGGGAGCCCCCTAAGGGTCACTTGGGTGGCTTCTCTATTTTCCTTAGGTCTTTCTTAGGATTTGGACCTGAATAAATTCAAAAAAAATTGCTTGAAAACCGTGTTTTTCCCTTCCACAAGACGCACCAATTTACTTCTCATGGAGGCATGAATTGAGTTTGGCGAAAGGGAAAAAACGCGTTTTCTTTTTTTTTCGTTATGTCAGAGGCACGAATTTGCTTTCGCGAAAGGGAATAAACGCGTTTTTTTGTTACGCGAGATGCACAAATTCACTTCTCGTGGAGGCACAAATTTACTTCTCGTGGAGACACAGATTTGCTTCCACGAGAAGCACGGGTGTGCCTCTCATAATGAAAAAAAAACACGTTTTCTTTCTTTTCGTTCCGCGAGAGGCATGGATTTACATCTCGTGGAGAGATACATTTTCTTCCGCCTCTCGAAAAAGGGAAAAAATGCGTGCCTCTTTTGAAAAGGAAAAATATATGCTCCCGATATGAGGTTTTTTCATCTGTTTTTTTTCATAAAAAAATGTTCGCCGAAACCTCTAAACATAGGATCTAGTTTTTAAATCTTGACGCACGGGACCCAATGGCATACACGATACGGGATTTGGATGCATGGGTTAAGAGATAAAATGTTTTGAATGAAGAAATCTACGAAAAAGGGAAAAAAAAACCAGGTTGCGATAAGTGGCGCACATGCAGCACCCCACTTGTCGCAACCTGGTGAGGTGGGACTGATTTTGTTGGACTCCGGTGCAACCTCCACCCAAATCCATCCACGTCTTACTGCCACGGTGGCTCCTAATTGGCGCATGAGACATCACGGAGCGACGCGCGCGTACCCCTTTCCCTCACGCGCTGGTGTTTCTATGGCCAAGTCCATTTTTAGGTTTTACCCCCAACTGGTTTTGGGAAGGTTGAACCACCGATTTTTTCTGTTTTACATTATTCTTCTTTGGTGTTTTTCTTTCCTTTTCTGTTTTCATTTTTTCCTTTCCTGTTTTCCTTTTTTACTTGTGTTTCTTCCAATTTTCAAAAATCTTTTCAATTTGTGAAATATTTTTAAAATCGTGAACATTTTCCAGAAATGACGTACGATATTTAGATTCATGAACATTTTTTTTCGAAATGATGAATTTGTTGTGAACACAATAATAAATCCTGAACATTTTGAAACCGTGAATATTTTTCTTAAATCACAAAGAATTTTTCGAAATTATGCACATTTTTAAAATTCATCAAAAAATTCTAGTAAAATTGTGAACATTCTCATAAATCGTGAAAATGTTTTTATATTCGCGGACATTTTTTTGGAATCGTGAACAATTTTTAAATTCACCAACAGCCGTTTAAAAATGTGAAGATTTTTTTAATTCGTTCACATTTTTGAATTCTAGAATGTTTTTTAACTCAAGAACAGTTTTTTAAATCATGAATGTTTTGTGAATTCATGAACACTTTTTAAATTCATGAACACTTTTTACAAATTTGTGAACATTCTCTTAACCGAGAATTGATTTTCAATTCCCGAACATTTTTTTGAATTCATCAATTTATTTTTCAAAGTTTATACAATTTCTGAAATTTAGAACCATTTGATATCCCGAATTATTAAAAAAAGGAGAAAACAAAAGGAAAGAAAGAAAAAAAGTTGACCTCCTAACCCAGAAGGGGAGCGGGGGGTGCGTGCGCGTTTTCCGCAGCTACTATTTCTCGCATTAAGAGAGACAAAACGACCCTCTCGCATCAAAGGCTACAGTAAGGGTCAGCCCAATAGCGGAGACTTAAATGAAATGGGAAGAGAAAGAAAAGAGAGCGCGCCTGGGATTCGAAACTTGGTCTGTTGTATGATTATGAGGGCAGCTAGCCACTGCACTACAATCATGTTCGATTGTTCGTGATGGACTAGTAGTTTGGCCCGTCTTATGTCGAAACGAGGTGCGATTCCACTGTTTCTTCTCTGTTTTTCAAGGTTTTTTGTTTTTTATTTCTTCATGTGTATTAGGCTTTCTCTGTTTTTTAGCTTTTCTTTTGTTATTGTTTGATTTTATTATACATTCTCCTTTTTTTGTTTGATTTTATTTTTTTCCTTCTCCATTTCTCTTTTTCCTTTTTCTTTTCTTGTGTTTGTTTCCATTTTCACTCTATATTTTCTTATATGTCAAAAAAATTAATAAGTGATCAACATTTTTGTATAAATGTTTAACATTGTCCGAACGCTTATTCACATTTTTAAAATACTTGTTCAACATTTTAATACTTATTCAACATTTTCAAATATTTGTGATACATTCAAATACTCGTTCAACATATTTGAATACTTATTCAACATTTTTTCAAATAATTTTTCAACATTTTGAATACTTATTCAACATTTTTTTTAATAATTATCCAACATTTTAGGAACATTTTTAATACTTATTCAACAATTTTCAAATTCTTGTTAAACATTTCTAATACTTTGTCAACATTTTTCGAATACTTGTTCAACATTTTTGAAATGTGTTTTTGAAGAGTGTTTATTGTTCAACATTTTTCAAATGTAGAATATTTGAAATTATAAAGAAAATTTTAAAACAAGCAAAACCCGAGAAGAGAAAATAGAAAAAAAAAGAAAGAAGGTCGTGGCCTCCCGTGCGGCTGGGCCGGCCCATCTGGGGCTGGCCCCGACGCGAGAGCCTCCCCAGTCCCGCTTAAAGCGAGACATAGGAGCGCCCCTAGTTTTCTTCGTAGCGGGCTATGCACCCAAGAGGGAGGTTCCCTACGGCCACCTCGGGCCCCGGCGGGTGGGCCCGCTCAAACCCGATATGAGATGGAAGAAGATCCGTTGCCAGGAGAAGGTGTCTTGTTGTCTTTTCCGGCAAAGACAAAAAGGAAATCCTAGCACTGGTGAACTTGCGTATCAATTCATGTCTGAGAGACGTGTCATAATTTAGACTAGTGGTTGGGGCCCGTCATTGCGGGCCGCTTGAGAGAAAGCTATGCACGCCTCATCATCATGTCAACTTTTTTTTAAAATATACTTGCGTCACATGGACATCACAACCATCTTAAAAGGAAAAAGAAAAAGGCTAGAAAAACTTCTCGCAAAAAAGTCTCCCTACCATTTAAAATAACTCTAAAAAAATACTTTCTGACGTGGCCAACCAGCATGTGCCACATGGCGTAGCTGGTTGACCACCATTCTAGCGCCTCTTAATGGGTTTAATGTGTAATGCAGTAGAAAAACAACTTTGTTAGACCAATGGGCCTAGCCCCTCACTAACAAAACTAGTTTCATTATTGACTGGATTAAGTTGCATATACTAAAGTTAGCGTACAAAAGGGACTAAAGTTGAATAAACTTGACTATTTCTTTAGTAGATGAACATTTCACCTACTACTTTTTATGTTGAAATGTGTGGCTTACAAGTCAAGAGATCAGATCACTTGTTTTTTTGCTATTGCCAGTTTGCATGCTTGTCTTATTTCTCCGCTGGCATCTCTATTCAAGGGATTTTCTGTATGCTCCCTTTATATTGAAAATTATTATGTGGCTTCTTGTAAAATATGGAATGTGTGTAGATATTATCACATCTTTATAGGAGGCAAACCTGGGATATCAATCAGAAGTTCAGAACCTAGGAAAAGAGAAAAAGGAAAGCTTAGCATCGATCAACTTACGAATAAATTCATATCCCAAAGAGGTATGTTATGATTAAGACGTGCAATGAAAAAACTCTAGTTGAACAAGTCTTGGGATGCCAGCACGCGGTTTAGACAGTGGCCTTTCAACACCCTATGAGGCTAGCAGCTCGCTACGAAAGCTCGTTTCATTTTGGACTTGACTTCGTCGTATTGCCTAGATTAGGTTGCATATACTATGTTAGGGTAGGAGTGGGACATAAAGTTAAATAAATATTTACCGTTTCTTAACTAGAGCATGTACGTTACCTTTCACCTACTATCTTCTTGTTATTGTGAAATGTATGGCTTAGTCAAAGCTAGTAGTAGATCACTATTTGTCAAGGGAGCTGGTCTTATCTGTACCTTATGCCTTGTCATCTGTTCAATGAAATATTTATCACAATTTGGTGCTCGCCTCTTGGAGCATATGGAAATGCATAAATGATCACACCTTTAAACGACTCCAGCCGAGTCTCATGATGGTATCCTCACAAGTTTCTATTGTTTACTACCATTAACTTAAATACTTAATACAACTGCTACGCTCAACTTGCACAACCTTCTATTGTTAATTACCAGTAGCTCATAATTTAGAGCATGCCGCTCCAAGAATCGAACTACTCCAACTTGCATATATGCAGTAGGTAAGTACTGCAATAATTGTACATAATATTATTTATTTGACAGGCCAATGTGGAGTCCTCAACTATAGCTAGGCTGCCCGCGTGACGTACGCATTGTTAATTTCAACAAAACTACGTGCATACACGTAATCATAACTCTATCATTGTACCACATTGATGCCAGCAACTAGCTTAGGTGGTGTGTCCATCTACGGTCTATATATAAATATGTGTGCGTGAGGACATAACCACTCCCCTCACAACAAAGGATATCATTACACAGAAATACACAATCAACAGGAGAACAACCACGCAAGCCATGGACCTCGCTACGGGGGCCATGGGCAACCTCCTCCTCAAGCTTGGAAAGCTCCTCAAGGAGGAGTATGAGCTGCAGACCGGCGTCAAAGAAGGCGTCCAACATCTCGAAAGAGAGCTGAGAACCATGCATGCCTCCCCCCGCAAGGTCGAGGATGTGCCACGGGACCAACTCGATGAGCTGGTCAAGCTTTGGGTCGACGATGTGAGGGACCTATCATTCAAAATGGAGGACATCGTTGACACATTCCTGGTAAGCGTTGAGGGTTTTGAGCCCACTGTCAAGCCACACAAGCTCAAGCGGCTCATGAAGAAGATGGGTGACTTGTTCACGAAGGGCAAGACTCGACATGAAATTGCTGATGAGATCAAAGGCATCAAGGTACGTGTCCAGGACGCAGCTGACCGACGTGATAGGTACAAGGTCAATGACATGGTGGTTAATCCAATTGACACAACCATGGTTGACCCTCGCCTGTTGGCTTTGTACAAGGATCAGAAAGAGCTTATAGGCATCGATGGGGTAGTTAACGAGCTAACCAAGATTCTGACTGATGAGGATGGGGAGGCCTTCATGCAACTCAAGATAATCTCTATTTTTGGATTCGGGGGCCTTGGCAAGACAACTCTCGCCAAAGCAGTGTATGATAAGCTCCGAGCGCAATTCACTTGCAGCACTTTTGTTCCGGTAGGACGGAATCCTAGCGCAAAGAAACTCCTCAATGACATTCTGTTTGGAATTACCAATCAAATATACCCAGGGTTGGATGAAAGGCAGTTGATCGACAAAATCAGAGGAATACTTGAGAAGAATAGGTATGCACCCTACTACATAATATGTGGTTTCTTATAAAATCAAGAAAATGAGAAAAAATATATACTAAACCTCATGAAGAAATGAGTTTGAAACAAGCGGTAAATTTTATTTTAGATATTTTATTTCAGAGAATGGTTTGGATAACATATAGTAGTTCTCACATGTTTTTCGATAAAGGGCAGTTTTATTAACTCAAAAGTTACATCAAGCAGATACAAATTATCTGAGCAACACCCGACCTCTGCATAGCTAAGAATAAGATGCACTCAACCACACTCCAACAGTCTGATTAACAAATAAAAATGACATAACCGCATCATTAAAGCCACAGAAAAACGTCCCTTTGTCTATGTCAATGTCAAAGGGGGGCGATGCACTGATCCGGAGATTATGTTGCCACACATGTTGGGTAGGAATCTTTCTAACAAATCGCTCCAACCGCATACACACCATATTGTACAACAGTCGATACTCCATACGTTGCGGCATAGACCACATATGAAGCCAGTGCGTAGAGCGGAAAATAACCTGCAAGGGAGTAATACTTTTGTTAGTTCTTACATACTTTTTATAAATTATTGCAATATAAATAATTTATTCTACGTTTTTAACCTTCTTCGCTATTATTTGGGACATGAGTGACTGTATCTTAGCATTTACAATAAATGCAAATCAAATATATATATATATATATATATATATATATATATATGTATGTATGTATGTATGTATGTATGTAGTGCACAGTTGGAAACCTTAGTTAATCATAACTAGAGTACTAGAAGTTGAAATGGAATCATGCTGCCTCCTGCAGCCATACATGCATCTAGTTACTCAGCACGTTGACAGATTGTTTTACTAATTTATCATGTCTCTTGTGTTTGACAGGTACTTCATTGTTATTGATGATATATGGGATACCGAAATATGGGATATACTCAGGTGCGCTTTGATGCATAATAATTGTGCCAGCAGGATAATCACAACTACTCGCATCCTTGAAGTCGCCACAAATACCGGTGAAGTATACAAGCTAGAACCACTTTCTCATGATTTATCTAAGGAGTTATTTAATACAAGATTATTTGGTGGTAAGAATAAATGCCGTTATGATCCACCGGAAGAGGTGTACAATAAAATTTTACATAAATGTGGTGGCATACCGTTGGCTATAACTACAATAGCCAGCCTACTTGTTGGTAAACCAGTGGAGCTTTGGTCCAAGGTATACAACTCAATTGGTTTTGGATATGAAGATAACAAAGATGTTGACAACACGAGAAAAATACTTTTATTTAGCTACTATGATCTACCTTGTCATTTCCGGACTTGTTTATTATATTTGAGCATATATCCGGAAGATCATATGATTGAAAAAGATAGTTGGTTATGGAAGTGGGTTGCCGAGGATTTTGTTCATGAGGAACCAGGGGTAGGGTTGTACGGCATTGGCGAGAGATACTTCAATGAACTGATAGATAAAAGTATGACACAACCATATGAGTTTCCTGTAAATAAGGGCATCATAAGTGGTTGTCGTGTCCATGACATGGTGCTCGATATGATCTGTCTATTAGCGAAGGAAGAAAATTTTGTCACTGTATTGGACAGTAATGAACATCACACATATTCAACACAGAGCACTGTTCGTAGGTTAGCAGTTGGAGACAAAACTCGTCTGGTTAACACTTGTATGGCACAAGTAAGGTCATTAAATGACTTCAATAGTGATGTTATGCTGCCACCATTTTCATGCTTTGAAGTTTTGCGTGTCCTAGCTCTAGAAGGTGGTGTTTTTTCTAAAAACAACACTAGCTGTCTTGAGAATCTTGGAAATTTAGTACATTTGAGGTACCTTGGAATAGGGAAAATGGTGGATATCCATAGGCTCCCGAAGGAAATAGGGGGGCTCAGATTCTTACAAACACTGGATTTGGGATGTGATGGACTAAGAGAACTGCCGCAGAGTGTTGGCCTACTAATTCAACTCAAGTGCCTACGCGCTTATGGTAGGCACATGATAATGCCAGACTGGATCAGGAGGCTTACATCTCTACAAGAGCTGTGGGTAAGCCAGGTCGACGAGTCTTCAAACTTTATGAATGAGCTTGGCAAGCTAACAGAGCTGAGGAAGCTCCGCACAACTGGAACATTATGGCTGTTCCATGCAAGCTCGATGAAAGCTTGGATGGAGTCTTTAGTCAAACTGCAGCAAATCCAAACCATAGACATTTGTTTGGTTGTGTCAGTTGGATATGATGACTCCACTTGCTGCTGGGAAGGCTACGTCCCTCCTCGACAATTCTGTATTCAGTACCTGTGGTACAACTACAAACAACCTGGTTTGGGTGCTCCAATTGATTTGGTGCTTTTAAACACCTCCCATTTATCCGTGTTGGTGGAGAATGAGATCTTTGCAAGGTTTCCAGAGCTTGTTACTCTCCGTTTGAATATGCCGAGAGGTCACTAACGTGACATCATGGGAGATGAAGGTGCATTCCCCAAGTTGAGGGTTTTCAAGAGTACAACACCCGGTCATTTTCCAGAGGGAATGTTTTCAAGTATGCCTAGCCCTGAATCTATCGATTTTCGCATTGAAGTGTGTGCTTCCGGTGATGGCAAGGTTGATACTTTTGATTTCGGTACCTTGGGGAATCTTCCTTTGCTTCAGAATACACCAATCATTACGTGGATACATCCAAGTCCATAGTTGAGACAAGATATCTTGGGGTAAGTTGATCTCCGCCTCCACAAGCAGTGCATGTTTATATCTGTCATAGGCTAATAATCCTGCAGTATATCTCTTATTTCCAGATTTTGAATTTGATTGTGTTAACTATGCTAGTTGTGTATCTCCACCTGCATAAAGGTATGTATGCACACTCCCTTTATATCTTCCTGTTACAAACTGGGTGTCTTCACCCTCTTTTTTCTACATTAAAAGCTAACAATCTGCATGCGTACTACATCTGTCTTCCCATCATATATAAATGAGATCCCTATACACACATATGCATTTCTTTTCACTCATTTTATATAACCATGCATACATACATTCTGTGACAATTATTTTGTATATGCAGGTTGGCATTGTTAGCAAATCGCACAGAGAAGAAGAAAAAAAAAAGATATTGAGAGACTTTCACAAATGTTATCAGCTGGAAGATCACATAGCTAGGTAGGAGTTTAGTGTCCTAAAAAACAAAAAGTCTATTTGTGTGCTTGTAGGAGTTTAGAGTCTTGTTGCCTAATTTAACTATAAAGAAAAAAACTTAATCTCCTAAAAAAATTTGGGCTACATATTGGGTACTGCGATTGTTTGATCCCGACCTATGTCACTTAATTATTTACTTAAAAACCCCAAAAATGTCCTTTTTTGCCCAAAAACACACATATGTGGAGTATTTTGTGGCAAAGGAAAAATAAAATCACAAAAAGTGGATGTTGCCTTCATGCCCTCATGGCATCATGTAGTACGTTGCTTGCTTTCGTTGTGTAGTCAGTGAAAAAACAAAACAAAAAGGTATTGGGATATTTGTACCATTTTCTTTTTCTGTGGGTCGTGTTTGTTTTGGGGTTTGGTGTCTGGTCTCACGTGTGTTTATTTTAGATTTTTTGGGGGTGGGGGTGGGGAGGGGGAGTGTAACTCCGCCTATGAACTTTATGTTGCATAGCCGGTCCCAAGCCCGGAAAAAGGAGGAGGGACTAAACATCTACTTATTACTAGTAGAGTGTCCGTGCGTTGCCACGGGCTCTTGAATTTTTTTACAAGAGTTACATGTTAAATTTCACATGCACAAACAATATAACACAAACACAATTACTGAATAATTGAAGTCCATTTTGCAATGAAAATTGATACCAAATAGAAAGACTAACGACATTTATCACCTGCCTCGTAGATGGTCTGGAGCAAGCATGCAATATATGTAAGCATTTATCACTTGT